TACCAAAACCACTAAATGGTTCATTTAATAAGGCTTCAGTTATTTTCAAAATACTTAAAACACTGGGATTTGAATCATACTTAATGTCTTACAAAATGATGTTAAAATACATTTTAAAAACACTGGATTGAAACTAACATACCACCTTGGTGTACATTCCCTTTCTCCCATCACTAAGTCATGTGATTTGAACAAGTCATGTCCTCCTAGGATTCAGGTGGTTTTTTTTTTTTTTTTTTTTTTTTTTTTGGACAGGCAGAGTGGATAGTGAGAGAGAGAGACAGAGAGAAAGGTCTTCCTTTGCCGTTGGTTCACCCTCCAATGGCTGCCACCGCTGGTGCGCTGCGGCCGGCACACCACGCTGATCCAAAGGCAGGAGCCAGGTGCTTCCTCCTTGTCTCCCATGGGGTGCAGGGCCCAAGCACTTGGGCCATCCTCCACTGCCTTCCCGGGCCATAGCAGAGAGCTGGCCTGGAAGAGGGGCAACCGGGACAGAATCCGGCGCCCCGACCGGGACTAGAACCTGGTGTGCCGGTGCTGCTAGGTGGAGGATTAGCCTATTGAGCCACGGCGCCGGCCCAGGTTCTTAATATTACCCGAGAGTTCTTATTTTTCTAATAAAGTTATAGGGCTCCATATTCTTCAGGAAAATTCTAAAATGGAATAACTGTGTTCTTTTTATATATATATATTTTTTTTTGACAGGCAGAGTGGACAGTGAGAGAGAGAGAGAGAGACAGAGAGAAAGGTCTTCCTTTTGCTGTTAGTTCACCCTCTAATGGCTGCCGTGGTCGGCGCTCTGCGGCCGTTGCATAGCGCTGATCCAAAGGCAGGAGCCAGGTGCTTCTCCTGGTCTCCCATGTGGGTGCAGGGCCCAAGGACTTGGGCCATCCTCCACTGCACTCCCGGGCCATAGCAGAGAGCTAGCCTGGAAGAGGGGCAACCGGGACAGAATCCGGCACCCCGACCGGGACTAGAACCCGGTGTGCAGGCACCGCTAGGCGGAGGATTAGCCTAGTGAGCCACGGCGCCAGCCTCTTTTTTTATATTTTAAGATTTATTTATTTATTTATTTATTTGAAAGGCAGAGTTACAGGGAGACAGAGTTAGAGAAATCTTCCATCAACTGATTCACTCAGTCCCTAATGGACACAATGGCCGGAGCTGTGCCGATCCCAAGCAAGGAGCCAGGAGCTTCTTCCAGGTCTCCCACATGGGTGCCGGGGCCCAAGTACTTGGGCCATTTTCAATGGTTTCTCCAGGCCTTAGCAGAGAGCAGGATTGGAAGTGGTGCAGCCGCAAGCAGAGGTTTAGCCCCAAGGCTGTGTTCTTTAAAAGTAAGAATAGGCTTTTGACTCAGCAGTTAAGTCACTGCTTGAAACTTCTGTATCACATATTGCCTGGTTCAAGTTCCAACAGCACTTCCAATCCACCTTCTTACTAATGTGCATCCTGGGAGGTAGCAGGTAATGGCTCAAGTACTTGTGTCCTATCACTCACCTGGGAGACCCACATGGAATTCCAGGCTCCAGGCTTGGCCTGAACCAGCCTTAAATGTTGTAGGCTTTGGGGGAATAAATCAGTGAATGGAAGATATCTCTCTATTCTGCTTCTGTCTCTGTTTCTTTGCATTTAAAAAAAAAAAGCAAATATTTAAAAAAATAAAAGTGTAATTACTTCTCCATTTTCAAAATGTTTGCAATTGGCTTAATTTGCTGGATCCCAAATTTTCAATAAAGAAGGCTCTATCTATTTCATAGGTGCTTCCCATTCTGGGCTCTCCTCAATGAATTTAATTTCCTAGGACAGAGCAGACTATCCCGCCTTCATTTCCAAAGATTTATTAAGGGAGAGTACTTGGCTATATGAATTTCTATCTGTGACCATCATTACAGTGAAAACAAATTTCTCTTAAAGCACAAGCTATGAATTTAGCAGAATATAGAGGAATAAAAAAGACGACGTCACACTGACACACACACACCCACACACTCAAACACACATCCTTCTCCAGCACTGTTTCTATTTCCTTATGCTTCTGAATGCCTAAGGTAAGAATAAACTCATCTTTTGCTAAAAGCAAATAGAAGTTTGAGTAAAATGAACTGACAGCAAATTCATCAAAATAGATGTTGCGGCTGCTATATAACTGCTCAGCTTGACAAAACGCTCACTTTTTTTTGTCTTTTTCCTAAACTCAGTGTTGCTTCTTCACAGGTGTAAGTAAAAGCTTCTGACTTAGCAAGATTCAAGTGAAAAAGGCATGCGACAGGGGGCAAGTGGGGGAAGGGGGAAGCTAACACCTGTGTAGGATAGTTTCTTTTTTTTTAAGATTTATTTTATTTATTTGAAAGACAGAGTTACAGAAAGAGGTAGAGACAGAGAGAGAAGTCTTCCATCCGCTGGTTCACTCCCGAGATGGCCAATCCGAAGCCAGGAGCCAGGAGCTTCTTCTGGGTCTCCCACTTGGGTGCAGGGGCCCAAGGACTTGGCCCATCTCCTACTGCTTTCCCAGACCATAGCAGAGAGCTGGATCAGAAGAGGAGCAGCCAGGACTATAACTGGTGCCCATATGGGATGCTGGGCAGGCCAGGGTATTAACCCGCCACGCCACAGTGGCGGCCCCTTGGATAGTCTCTTGAATCTGTAAAAGAGCCTCTGATTTCTCCCCTCAAACCAAAGCTAAAGGTCAGTTTTAAAAATGATGCATTGACAATTAGTACTGGGCATTTACTGTGTGACAGGCAGAGTTAGACAGTGAGAGAGAGAGACAGAGAGAAAGGTCTCTCTCAAATGGCTGCTACTGCCGGTGCTGCGCCGATCTGAAGCCAAGAGCAAAGTGCTTCTCCTGGTCTCCCATTAGGGTGCAGGGCCCAAGCACTTGGGCCATCCTCCACTGCACTCCCTGGCCACAGCAGAGAGCTGGACAGGAAGAGGGGCAACTGGGACAGAATCCGGTGCCTCGACCGGGATTAGAACCCAGGGGTGCCGGCGCCACAGGCAGAGGATTAGCCAAGTGAGCCATCGTGCCGGCCCTCCTTATTTAATCTTAACAACAGCCTTATGACGGTCAATTGTCAACTCCAATTTATAAAGTAAGGCACCTGTAGCCACACAGATTTGCCACAGATCACACAAAAAGCCTGGCTTCAGTTTAGGCAGTCTTTCTCCGTAGTCCTCATTCTTGGTCACTAAGAATAATAAAATAATAATAGTAACAGTTGGTACCACTATTAGTCACTATTAATATTACTCAGTAGGCATTGTGTTACAATCTTTTTTCATTTGGTCCTCACTTTGTCCTTTCGAATTAAGGGTTAGTATTCCCATTATACAGATCTGAGGGGTTAACCAAACAGCCTGTAAATGGGAAAGAGTCAGTATAAACCTCTGCCTTTAAACCAACGCCCTGCAGTTTTATGTGAGTATGAAGACTGCCATGTTTTGTAGTCAATTTAAAGTTAAAACCAAAGGATGCTAGGAGAAAGTTCCAGTTAGCTAAAAACTAATCAACCTGCAAAATATGGGCTGCCTCACTGCAAAAAAGAAAAGAAAAGCTGAATAAGATTCACCCATTAAGGAACTTTATGACTGAGACAAAATCAGTGCCACACAAACGCAAACAAGACCTTGTCCCAGCCATGCTCCACTCTGTGTGCCGGAGACCTGAGCACCAAGAGCCAGTGACCTTTCTTCTAGATGATGTTTTTGTTATCCAGGATTTCACAAATTTCTCCCTAAATGACCTTGAGCCCTAGATCCACCCTCCCAAGGATCAGCCACCCCAATAATGCAGATATCCAAAGGGCCAGTGGCGTGGGTGTGAGGTGGTAAATGGAGCTTGGATATGTATGCTTCAGTGCCTGTCCTTGTGTGGAAAAGAATTAGAAGTGGAAAAAGTGAAAGATGGCTGGCCATTGGCTGGGAGCCAGAGCTCAAAGGGTGGTTAATATACCTTCATGTTTCAGCAAAGAATTATGATAAATTCAACAAGATTAAATTTGAATGTGGCCTTCCAGGATAATATGGAATTATATTTGTCAAGGGAGGAGGATGGATCATATTTTATGTAAGCATTCATGAACATAACTGGTAACTTCTAAATACCTCTGTCCTTTCAACCTACATTCGTGCTGTTGCCCTAAATCCCACAGAAAGTAATGGCAAGCCTAGGCCAACTCAGTTCTCATCCTTTTTTCTCCCACCAGAGGCAAAGATGCTGCTTTACACATTTCCAGTCAATTTTGATAACCTACATACTGTGTATACTCATTAAGTATACTCACAATAGTCTCAGCAAATCCCAGGTAATGATGATTTCCTGTTAGCCCACTCCTCACTGCTGCTGAGCACAAGGAAACAAAAATCACCTGACATTGTGTAGAAGTTGCTATTTACATGGCACTCTAGTGTTTACTTCATTGGAAACAGCTGTTTCTTTGAATCATTTCCATGTTCATTAGCTTGACACATAAGATTACGGTGTCTGTCTACATGATGCCAGAACAACCATACGATTTAAGTAAATTCAGTCTGACAGGCAACTTACTTTGAACAAGAAAAGAGTCTACTTTGTTTATTTTTAAATTGTTTATATGTATATGTATATACATAATATATACAAAAATATAGTGTATATATATATATATAAGAGAACTTCCATCCACTGATTCACTCCCCAAATGAATGCAATGGCTGGAGTCGTGTCAAGCTGAAGCTAAGAGCAAGGAGCTTCTTCTGGCCTCTCACATGAGTACAGGGGCTCAGGGACTTGGGCCATCTTCTGCTGCTTTTCCCAGGCATGTTAGCAGGGAGCTGGATTGTAGGTGAAGCAGACAGGACTCAAATTGGTGTTCATAAGGAATGGCAGCATTGCGGGCTTAACCCACTGCACCACAATGCCATCCCTAAATTCTTTACTTTTAAGCTGTCAATTTCATTAAATTAACAGGGAAATCAATGATTCCTACCCCTATCATCCTTACTCCAGCCAACACAAATGATATAGTAATTTAAAAAAAAAATCCAGGTACAAATTTAAGCTATTAATTAACATTGGTCACAGTACTTAATCTTCATTAAGTATCTAAGTGAATGTTCCATATTGATAAGAACTGCATGACAATGCTACAGAGCATAGGTCAGAATGGCAAAGCCAGTGGACATACAAAATGTGTTGAAATAGACACGCACTCTAAGAAGCAGTTCTTGAAATAGGACTGACCGAGGTGGGATGATTCACTCCTCTCTCATTTGACATGTGTGCTCTCACTAAATTCTACATGCCTCTGTATCACATTCCTACGAACTTTCAGCATTCCAGAATTCTCCCACTGGTAAAACATAGGGAGAGGTTAATAACAATTATCTGCACCCTCATTTGGTGCCCAGGGATCTCGTGCCAACACCCATTTCCTCCTTGGGGGGATGGGCAGGAGGTCATATAGTAGGATATATATAAACATTCTCTGAGACTGGAGACCAGTTGCTTAGATACCGTATGAGATACCCAGCCTTGACAACCACACCACAGCATATAATAAATTGAGCATCTAATTGAAACCCATCTGAGAATCTACCTGATTCATTTTCCGTCGGTGGCTGCCAGAAGCAATATAGACCAACAGGAAATCATTAAGGAGGCAGCTATAGCAGAAAGTACTTGCTGATTTGGGGAAGGCACCTTTGAGAAGTGAGGCTCCTTCATTTCAAGACAGAAACTCCTGCTCTTACCACTGAGAGCGAGTTATTTTCCAACGCAGCCTATGAGCCACTTGGGTCATAGTACAAATTTGCAAGGCCGAATGCAAGGAGTGAATTTTACCAAGCAGTTCCCTTTCCCCGGCAGCAGCATCTCCCAGGGCTGCTTTGTGAGAGCACTGTAGATCACAGCTTGTGGTAGGTAAGGCCGCAGCCCAAGCTAAACGATTTCATTAAGCACATGCTGACTTAGCCCAGATTGTTCCCTTCGGGTCCTGGATCCTACATGGAATTGAATCATCTTCCATCATAATTACCGGAAGCATCGGAAGCAGCTGTTGCTTCCTCCCCATCGCTCACACCGGACAGCAGACAGCCTGAGGGTCCCATCATCTGACAATGATATGCTTCATTTCAATGTGCATGTCTGTGCATTCTGCTGTCTGAGCCAGGAGCCATTACCTGCCCACTTGCTATACAGCAAAGTCAGGAATGGCACTCCTACTAAACAGCACAGATTTAAAAATATTAACCTTCAATGAGATACGCATGATGGAATACTACTGTTGATATTAGCCATCATTTACCCATCTTCACTATATGCCAGGCACCAAGCTAAGAACTCTACAAACATAATTCCTCTCTATCTTCCAAAAAAGATGCCAAGATTAAAAAGTTATATCTTAATCCTCCAGGGCAAAGATAAGATAAAGCAGACCCTTCTCTCTTGGAAAGTCTATGAAATTAAGATAGAGAATACAGGTACAACAGATCCAGATATTCTAGTATAGAGGAAGATGGTTTTAGGCAATCTACGAATATTTGTTATAACCTACTGTGGTAGGTCCTATGCTAGTTTCCGGGGACACGATGCAAAACATGGGATTTTCACCAGAGGATTGCAAAGGAGGTGATTTTTAAGTAACATTTGAGGAAGAGAGGGATAATGGTAGGAAGAATTGAGGAGGGTGAAAGAGCCAGCTAGACACTGCCACAGTCCCATGGGAGAGTTTCATTATAGCAATGAAAATTTGCTTTGGGGCCGACCCTGTGGCATAGCGGGTAAAGCCGCTGCATCCCGCGCTGGTTCGAGTCCCGACTGCTCCATTTCCAATTTAGCTCTCTGCCATGGGCTGGGAAAGCAATAGACGATGGCCCAAGTCTTTGGGCCCCTGCACCCACATGGGAGACCCAGAAAAGCTCCTGGCTCCTGGCTTTGGATCGGCACAGCTCTGGCTGTTGTGGCCAATTGGGGAGTGAATCAGTGGATCGAAGACACACACACACACACACACACACACGCCTCTCCTTCTCTCTCTGTGTAACTCTGACTTTCAAATAAATAAATGAACCTTTAAAAAAGAAGAAAATTTTCTTTAAGGGACTAAAAAGAGAAATGGATAAGAAAAGACAAGTGAGAGAACTAAGGTTTTATAAAGATGTGCTTTTTCCTAGCCCACATTAGAAGAGAATCAAGAACCTTAGCCCTCAAAGACCTGCTCCCACATGGTTTCTGTGGAACCCCAGACACCAACTACTATGACGAATGACACTCAGTGTTTTGGAAGGCAAATACCAACTGAAGAATCTGATAACCAGTAAGTTGCTTTTCCTAAAAAATTGCACATACAGATACACAACTCTATCTAAGTTCTCTGATGTCTATCCATGTGCTGAGATTCTCAAGAGTAGGAGTCGGTCAGGGACAAAAATATTCTTTGAAAGAATTTAAGAAAAACCAATTTACCAGAAGATATGAAGAAACAGAAGCCCCAAATAGTTTAGAATTTGGAGGCACCTGTGGTGTATAGGGTGGATGTTTCAAAGAATATTGGCCAGCACCCTTCAGGGATAAAGAAGGGATTCAAACATGATTGACTGACCAAAGAGGAAGAAGCAGCTTTGGAACATCCTGTAAGATGGGCAGCTTCAAAAATTAAAAGGGGGAAAAAAAGGAAGTAAGGAGGGGGATTGAGAGAGGAAGTGGGGGGGGGGAAGTATGGTTATCTTCTTAGAACTGTACCTATGAAATACATGAAAGCTGTCCTGTTAATATTAGTAAAAACAGATGGGAAGCCTCAACAATTTTGAGAAAATAGTGCTTATTCGGTGAAGGAAGCCACATCCTATAAACTACCAATCACAGCTCAACTCAATTCACTATGGAGGCAAACGAGGATGTTGGTCTTTATTTACAAATACCTGGGAAGATTGCTAACTTGCAAAACTCATTTATTTTATTCTCCATTCCCTCTTGCAAAAGGAATATAGGAAGATGGGAAAGAACTGGAGTCCTGGAGCCCTACAGGCTAAATTCTACCCCTGATTCCCATTGGAATGGGTTGTCCAGGCATCAACAATAGCAAAACAATATAACTCTTAGAGTGGAATGAGGCTATTACCCTAATTTTAGTGATGAGGTGCTATTTGCCCAATGCTATGTAGCTAGAAAATGACAGAGCTGGGCAAACCCAGGTCTGCATGTCTCCAAAAACTATTTTATAGTCACACTTTACTGTCTCCCAGGCAAAGATGATTTCAGGCAGGTGCAACATTACATTGAAAAGGTGGGACAAGCAGAGAGTAACTTGTACACCCCATGTCAGTAGGAAGTAGCTCTAAGGACAGATCATCGTCCCCCTACCCCTCTTGAACTTTTGGGGCTAATGTAATCCCATACAACTCTTACTTTATAAAAACAAAAAGGGGGAATGTTAGTAAAATGGCACAATCTTATCTATGGCACCATCCTAGGCTCTAGCCTCTGCTCCATGGCTAGAAGTCAGGTGACCCCATGGCCCAACCACTGGTGTCAACTCGACCCCCATCCTAATGGGATTCGTTGTTCCTATTTCCCTGCCCACCCTCCAGCAAAAGTTTAACAGGACCTGTGTCGCACCCCGTCTTCGTGGAGGAATGACACTAAACCCTGCCTAGGCTTCATATCCGAGTCACGGCACCATTATGTCACTCCCCGTCTTCGTGGAGGAACGACACAGGACCCTGCGCTGTTTTTTCGTCTGCTCGGCCCTCCCCGGGTTTGCTGCTGGTTCTTCCCGGGTTGGCTGTCGTCCCTCCACCTCCGTGGAAGGGCGGTTCCCCCTGGCCACTTTCCCCACTTCCGCAGGGGAGCGGCACACCGCCGGCCGGCTCTCTCGGGGGCTGCACAGGTGTTCCTTCAGATAGATGTTCCCGGTGCATGTTGTCTCTCTCCTCCTTTATAGTCCTCTTCCGCCAATCCCAACTCGGCTGCCCACATGCTGAGTACGCTGCTCTCCTCCAATTAGGAGCAGGTCCTGCTGTTTATTGGTTGAACTGGAGGCAGCTGTATAGAAGCTGTTTCCTCCTCTCCCAGCGCCATATTGTGGGAGAGCAGATGCATAGAATAAGTCTTAATTCCAGTAACTTAGTCTAGTCCGAGTTGCTCCCCACAGACCTGTTCCTGAACATGTGGCTCATTCTCTCTCTTGCTCTCACTCTCTCTCTTGATTTCTCTCTTACACTCTCCTTCTCTTCTCCCTCTTTTCCTTTTTTGCCCCTTCTCTCCAGTCTGTCAGGTTTCCCCCAATAAACCCTTTCCCTTAAGAAGAGAGGAGAGGAGAGGAGAGGAGAGGAGAGGAGAGGAGAGGAGAGGAGAGGAGAGGAGAGGAGAGGAGAGGAGAGGAGAGGAGAGGAGAGGAGAGGAGAGGTAGGACAAGAATCTTACTCAGAAAACATCTGCTCTCCTCCATACTTACTTTCTCCATGGAGTAGACTTGCCAGGGACACTTTCTCACTCTTTTACATTGCCACCAGGTAATCCTCTGGTGATACAAATCAAACTAGAATATTACCTTCCAGATATTGGTTGTCCTTGCTGAATGTTCTTTCTTTGTCTTTACAAGGATTGCTTATCATTAATGCAGAAATTCAACTACTATTTGTATTTATTTATTTATTAGCTTGATGCATGACACACACCATGCATCACACACAATGCTGTACTTGCAATGAAATCATCACTTCCGACAGAGGCAGGCAGTTCACATGCTCAGGCTAGACATAAACTAAGTGGACAAAAGCCCAACAATCTTGCATTAGTACCTCCAGCACTCTGTGCTAATCATATGTCCTGTCCTTTATGTGTATGCAGTAATCAATGTTGACAACAAATAAATGTGGCTGTAAAAGCAGAGGCTGAAGCAGGAGATGCCCTTCCTGGGGCTGCCTTTCACATTTGGCAAATGAAAATGACACAGAAATGGCCTTGTCCACTACTTGACCAGGAGGACCTCAGGAAAAGGCTAGCCTCTGCACAATGAAGCTTGTAAAAAGCAAATTGCTTTGTTTCCAAATATCATGTTGACATAGTCATATTATTATAAATTAAGATGAAAAGAAAGAAGAATTATGATTTCATCTAAATTCTCTTCATATTTATTCAGGGATCTTTATATGTTCAACTTCCTTTGCAGTTCTAGGAGCATACGGTACATTTCTGCATCAGAGAACCTGGCACACTCTCAGGGATATACCGAGTCATCAACGACAGTGCGTGATTAGGCATCAGACACAGCAGCCTGGGGCAGATAGAGCAGCATCAATACTTACTTATGTAGAAGTAATACCAAGGGGCATACATTTTAGAGTCCTGTGTACCTGGATTCAAATATTAGCTCTGCCATTAACTTGTTGGGAGATTTTGAGGAAGTCAATTTACTTCTTTGCCTTATAAACTGGTGATAATATTGACATGGATGCAGTATGTGAAGATTAGAGATGAGCATGGAATAAGCCCTCAGATGTTCAATAATGGTGATGATTCCCCCAGGAAACTCTCAAGAGCCATTACAGAAAGGGGCATAAATCTAAAGTCTGGCAGATAGACCATAAATGTGATCCAAAGACCATAAATAAATTACTAACATGATAAACCAACAATTCACAGAAAGGAAGGGAATTGCAGATTGTTTTATTGACTACTCAAAGGGTAGGTCATTTTAAAGGAGACTGGTTGCCTATCAGATCTTGTTCCCATGATGTTTCTGATGAATTTTCATCACTCTGATTCCTGAGAGCTCATCATGCCCCTAGTTCTAACAATGTAGTCCTTCCCTTGAAGACAATAAGCCCTTAATTATGGAGAAATTCGGAAGGCAAAGAGATACAGTGTCTCCACACTTACAGAGTTTTCTATGGAATTTCTGAGGATTTAGCCGGGTTCTAGACCCAGTCGGGGCGCCAGATTCTGTCCTGGTTGCCCTTCTTCCAGGCCAGCTCTCTGCTATGGCCCAGGAGTGCAGTGGAGGGTGGCCCAAGTGCTTGGGTCCTGCACCCCATGGGAGACCAGGAGGAAGCACCTGGCTCCTGCCTTCGGATCAGCGCAGTGCGCTGGCCGCTGCGCGCCGGCCGCGGTGGCCATGGGAGGGTGAACCAACGGCAAAGGAAGACCTTTCTCTCTGTCTCTCTCTCTCTCTCACTGTCCACTCTGTCAAAAAATAAAATAAAATAAAATAAAAAAGATATTTGTTATATAGTTGGATAGATATTTTCTAAAATACTACTGGGTCTAAATTCTATAATTTTGTATTCTATAGCATAATATGTATTAGTCAAGAGTGTTCCTACTTCCTGTTAATATCTCGTATAAGACTTGATCATAATATATCTCCTGTTACATGAAGAACTTTATTTGTACCTCTGTCTAAACAAAAGACTGAAATTCTTTGAGGGCAAAGATAGGATTTTTATTTTCTTAGAACCTAATCTGCTTCTATGGTAAAACAGGTGTTCAACAATCTGCTTATTAGTATGCTATTGGATTGCATGAACCAAAACACAGTGATATTGTGAATGTGATCATTTATGTCCAAATTTCCTTTTCAAGCTAAATATCATCTTGAGGGAAAGACTCGCTCCAGATTAAAACTATTAGAATGGGAATGTTACAAACTTAGCCATTACTACTAAATCAAGCTCAGAAATTTAAAATTGTGCTGCAAGGAGAAAAAAAACTGCAGTTTTTATAAATAAATTTCTGTGATTTTTATAGTGGAACAGACTATATAGATCACTCATAAATAACCAAACAATACAGCATTTCCTTCTAAAATTTTATTTATTTTGCAGCTTCTCTCACTAGTCCACTGGTGAATAATAACTCAATCTACCAGCTGAACTGCATAATTCCACATTGCTTCAAGGCTTCACATTGCATCCCTCACCAAAACCAATCACCATGCAAGTATACATCACTCAACTACAATATGATTAATAACTAGTAATAATAGCTAGTAGTATTGGTAATTATTAACTGAATATCCATAGCTCGACGTGGGTTATCTCATTTGCTCTTCAAAACTACCCTCTGATAGAACACTACTGATAGCCTCATTTTATAGATGAAGAAACTGAAACTCTAAGTGGGTCTGTCAGCCATCCAATACGCATGGGTACATAGATGTCTCAGCCCAACTTATCCACAGGAGATGGATGTAAGAACATGCCTGAATGACAACGAGCTGGTGACCACCTTCGTTTATTTTGTAGAAATTCTCTTAGCTGATATTGTTTCATTATTATGATATTTCTCAGGATCTGTATATCTTTTATGATATATCTTAGGATTTGTATATCCTAACAAAAACAACTCTCTGCTAGAAGCAAAGAGATGATGCATTTTAATGTAAAGTAGTTGTATTTGTTTAGTTATCATTTCATTTATCCATGAGCACCATAAGGAACAAAAATTTCATAATTTCTATAATTCCCAGAAAGGCTACAAGAGAAATACACCAGAAAGGAACACAGTGTAAAAACTGCATAAATCCCAAGTCATTATAGCAGAAGTACTACTGTCAGACAGAGAATGACTATTTTAATGTAAAGAAAACTATACTTTTATATCTAGTCCACCTGGTTTAATATTTATGAGCTTCATGTATTTGAGTTTGTGCCACCATAGTTCCAAAATCCTAAAGTGATAGTTGTTGACATTGAACAAAGTTTGTTGTTCTCTAACAATGATGATGGATGGACTTGGTTGTAGAAATCCTATCTTTTCATAGTAAGGTGACATATTTGGCTCAGTGACTCTTACCCATACGTTGTTTTTCTGATTATGAAAGTATTCATTATTGGTCTTTTAGCACTCTTATACACTCCCTGGACTTCCTGTACCCTACAACTAAATGAAGACAATTAGATCTAGTGTGATTGAACCTGAAAACATGATATAATTCACACAAACTCTGTTTCAAAAGTGCTGAATGTAGAAGAGTGGCAGACAGGAAGGATAAAAGGCAAATCAGCCTAAAAAATGTGGTTCTTAAAATTATCATCCTATGAAAAACTCTGCATCCTAACTTGTCCCTTTTTTGCCAAGTTTTTTAATCAACTTGGAAAAGTAGTAGGGGGAATGACTCAGGAAATCCTTAAATATGAAATAATCCTGGATTCTGTCTCTATATTAAAAACCCATGTCTGACAACCTAGTTCACAGAATAGAACACTGAGAACAAATGTTTTTATTCAATTTAGATAAGAATTCATATGACATTACCACTTATGACCTCATTTTATGCCTCCCTGTGCTTGTAGATTTTCTCCTCTGCCTTCCTGACACTGTCTCCCAGTCTTATATGATTTCTTAGGTCACATTTGATTTCTTTGGTTTCTTGTTCACTGACATGGATGAGACATAATGAAATTAAAACCTTGAACAAGCAAATGGGAATGATGCAGATATTCAATGTCAAAGTCAGCCCAAGAGGCAATCAATGAGTTTTGTATGATGTCAAAGTCATTAGTTAGAAATCTAAAGGGCAGGTGTCAAAAGTTCTTTAGAGTGGGTAGGAGGATTCAAAGGCTAAATCAGAGCAAATGAGGCAGTGGAAAATGGCAATTCAGGGAAGATATTCTGATAATACAAAAATTTTGGCAGATGGTGCTTAATTAATGACAATAATAACAGTAACACCTCCTATTTATTAACAGCTTATTAGGTGTCAGACATGGGTAAGCACTTTCCCCAGTTATGTGATTTAATCCCTTCATTAGCTCTGTGTGAGAGAGGAATTACTGTTGTTTTACAAGTGAGGAAAATGAAACTCAGAGATATGAAGAAACTGTCCAAGGTCACACAGCTCTTAAATAAGAAAGACAGAAATCAAGCCTACTTCTGTCAGACTAGAAAGCCCATTATTCTTAACACCATACAGAATCCTTTCCTTACTTTCACCTTATTTTCCTTGCCATCAGATTTGAATTGCTTCCTTTCAAAAACCTGTCAGTGGATGTTTCAGAGAGTTTTACTGTCCACTTTAAAGATTCAAAACTCTTCAGCCAAGTTAGATTCTGGATTTTGCTCCCTCCAAACCTGCCTACTCTTGTTGGCAACATTTATTTTTTTCTTTCATTGTCCAAAGTCTAAACCCAAATCCACATCCACATTAACCAGTACAATTTGCTCAGTGCAATGCAACGTTCTCATTTCCTGGCTCCCTTCATAATCTTTTTAGTGTATTACTTCTGGACCAGTTGTTCAGTATAACAGTATATAGAGACTCCAAGCATCTGCCAACTGCCTACCAGATGGCTAAACTCTAATGAATAGCCACTGTCTTATGGGCGACTGAGGATGAGCTGAATACTTCCCTGCTTAATTCAGAAGCTTTTCCAGAATTTCACATGATGTAAGCCTAAAATTCAATTAATCTGTAGGAGAGGTTAAAATCTTAATACAAATAAAGAGAATAAATAACAATTACCAAGTGTGTCTGAGTGCTTCCTATGTACTAAGCACTGCTCCAAACATTTCAGACATGCCTCATTTAATTTGCCAACAACTGAAGGAGGTAAGGGTAATTATGAACCTATTTGACAAAGAAGAATCTAAAGCATAAGCAACTCCAGTTACCCAAGTCCACACAACTGGAGCACAGTAGAACAGGGGTTTGAAGTCCGAGAAACTGATTCAGAGTTCCTGACTATTAACTGCAACACGTTCTGGTGAGGCAGAAACTTAGGCTTTATTTATTATTATTTTTCTGTATCACAAAATAAAATAAAAAAAAAAACAAGAACTAAAACATCAGGACATCACGAAAAACTGGAGGCCTCTTAGAGAAACCTGACTTGTATGGTTTTGTATGGTTCATTCATTGTGAGAAAGACAATAATAGTAACAACCAATTACTATGAAACTCTTCCTCTGGTCTGTGTATATATATATATATATATATATATATATATCTTTGTGTGTGTGTGTACATACATGTGTATATATATGTACATATGTGTATATATATATATATAGATATGTATAGATATATGCATATATTCTTACTAGGACTATAACAGCACATTCAGTAGGAAATCAGAGAAGCCGAAATGCCTTTAGTCCTGAAGAAAGCAGCAGCAAAAATCATATGACATTTCTTGTTTCTTTCCCCTCTCTCAGCCCCTGTGGGCGCCAGCCACTGGGGTAAGTGCTTCATAGTTGCATTCATACTTTCAAGTTAAATTTCATCTTCAGAAGAGTCATAGTGAGATAAGAGACACTCCCCAAGCCCGCCCAGAGACCAGCGCTGTAGCTTAGTAGGCTATACATCTGCCTGCTGCGCGGGCATCCCCTATGGGCAAGAGTTTGTGTCCCAGCTGCTCCTCTTCTGACCCAGCTCTCTGCTTATGGCCTGGAAGAAGCTCCTGGTTCCTTGCTTCAGATTGGCTCAGCTCTGGCCATTGCAGCCATTTGAGGAGTAAACCAGCGGATAGAGGATTCCTGTCTGTCTCTCCCTCCTTCGGTCTATAACTCCACCTCTCAAAAAAATAAAAATTATTAAAAAAAAAGAGCCCCCACATCCAGGATACCAACTAATATTTAGATAACAACGTGGTTAAATCTTCTAATCACTCTCTGGTTTTAAATGCCTCAACTTGGACCATCCATTGATTGCACATCACTCAGAACAGTTTTTCCTCCTTGATTAAAATTAGAGGTAGGGTCAGATTATTGGCTTAGCAGTTAAGATGCCAATGGGATGCCTGTATCACAAATCAGAGTACCCAAGTTCGAGTCCCAGCTATAACTCTGATTCCAGCTTCCTGCTCACATACATGCTAGGAGGCAGAAGGTGATGGCTCTAAGAGTTGGGTTCCTGCCACTCACATGGGACACCTGGATTGAATTCCCAGGTCCATCTTCAGCATGGCCTAGCGCTTGTCACTGTGGGCACTTGCAGAGTAAATCAGCAGATGGCAGTTCTCTCTCTCAGTATCTAAAAAATTTCTTAATTTTTAATGAGAAAGCAGTAAGCTAATTTTCATTAATTTCTATTTTTTATTATTATAATCATTTGTATCTTCAAAAGAGAAGTCAAATTATGATAAAAATATCTTAGAACTCAAATAATAAAAACACAACCAGTGAAGGAGATGTAAAAATCAGCTCTCCAATGAAATAGCTTATTTTATATCCAAGTCTGCTTTTCTTTTAAGTTTGTGCTAAGTCTACAGTAGCTGACAAATATCTTCATTCCAGTAAAGGAACATTTGTTTTAGGTAATATTCTTATTCCTGGAGGAAATGGAAAGGTAAATTCTGAAGTGAAGGATATCCTGGGGAAATAATTTGGCAAATGATATGACATTTTCCTGTTCTTGTTTAATATCATAAAGGAATAAATATGGATGACATGTAACCAAGCAAAAGAAAGATTCTTTGAATAATAGAATGTGAAATCAGAATAGTTCCTCAGAGATCAGCTGGTCTAACTTTTTTTTTTATTTGCTGGGTGAGATCTGAAACTTGATAAGTAAATTTCATTACCAAAGTAACTCAGATGATTAGTAGCAGAATTGAACTTACAGTGAAAACTTTAAAATACTTAGTGTCCTTTCTAATCAATATTATAAGATTCAAAGAATATTCTATCAAAATCTGACTATATATGCTCATGAAGTTATATCTCTTCTAACAAGCTACCATATAAAGGCCAAATTCTATCCTCTCCCAAAAAGATGATAGATATATGAGCCTTTAGTACATGAGGATTGTATAAGGAGGTCCATGATAGCATCCAGGTATAGTAAAATACAATGGAAAAATATCTCCACCTTATCTTAATTAATGTATAAGTGAAGTTGACCATTTCTTTCCTTTACAAATGTGGTCAACAAATCTGAGTAGTGTTAATAAGTCCTATGATTTTCTCACTATGAAAGTCAGATGTTTTATGTCACCTAAATTAAATTTATCAGACATGTTCCTAGATGATATTTAATTTGTTCATTTTAAGAAGCTTCTAGGAAGCACAGAAAGATAGCAATTGAGTAAGAAACTTCAATGATTGTTTTCTCACACAGACACCAATTTGGATAGCAGTTTATTCACCATACCACCTTCACAAGAGCTAATGAAGCGAGGTGAAAGACCACAGTGTTTGGCTTTATT